ACTCGCTGTCAGCCTCACGGGCTCCCTGCGCACAATGAGGACTAGTTGCCTATAGGATGTCAGCGGCATGAGCCATCTCCTTGGCCACGCTGGAGGTGTCAGATAACATCTGTCCTTCTTGCTGTCTGCAGGGGCTGTGGGGCAGGCAGACCAACCGACCCACACTGCACAGGCAGCCTGCGAGGAGTCTGGTAGAAGCTGCGGAAACTGAAGGGCTCTGGCCACTCCCAGCAGGCGCTGTTTGCTTGTTCCAGGGCTGAAGGAATCAATACTTCCTAGCACACCGGTGACCTATTTATACCACATGATGCTTTGAGCCTATCAGCCCCATGGCCTGTGCAGTGTTTTTGCTGCTTTATGTCTCTCTCTTTTTTATTTTTTTTTTTTTGAGACGGAGTTTCGCTCTTGTTACCCAGGCTGGAGTGCAATGGCGCGATCTCGGCTCACTGCAACCTCCGCCTCCTGGGTTCAGGCAATTCTCCTGCCTCAGCCTCCTGAGTAGCTGGGATTACAGGCACGCGCCACCACGCCCAGCTAATTTTTTTGTATATTTAGTAGAGATGGGGTTTCACCATGTTGACCAGGATGGTCTCGATCTCTTGACCTCGTGATCCACCAGCTTCAGCCTCCCAAAGTGCTGGGATTACAGGCTTGAGCCACCGTGCCCGGCTTATGTCTCTTTTAATAAGCAGACTCGTTCACACTACCCCAGGTGCAGCACAACCCCTTATAAGGGGAAGTTGTTCAGGTTAGAGGCCATCCTGCCCAGAAGATCAGCAGAAGCATAATGGGCTAGCATCTTCATGGAGTCATTCACAGTTAGTACAGATAAGAATGCATTGTGTAGACCAGTGTTGCCCCATAGACTATTCTGTGATGATGAAAATGTCACGCTTTTAATCCCAGCACTTTGGAAGGCTGAGGCAGGCAGATCACTTAAAGTCAGGAGTTCGAGACCAGCATGGGCAATATGGTGAAACCCTGTCTCTACTAAAAATACAAAAATTAGCTATGCGTGGTGGCAGGTACCTGTAATCCCAGATACTCCAGAGGGTGAGGCAGGAGAATGGTTTGAACCTGGGAGGCAGATATTGCAGTAAGCCAAGATCATGCCACTGCATTCCAGCCTGGGTGACAGGGCAAGACTCTGTCTCAAAAAAAAAAAAAAAAAAAAAAAAAAAAAAGGAAAGAAAGAAAGAAAATGTTCTGTATCTGCACTGTCCTTTATGGTAGCCCTGAGGTTATCAAACACTGGAACTGCAGCTTGTACAGTTGAGAAGCTACATGTTTACCTTTATTTCATTTAAATAGTCACACATAGCTAGTGGCTACTTTATTGAACAGTGCAGGTGTAGAACTGTTCAAAGCTTGGAATGTGAAAGCTTAAAATCACTTGATCCTAATTATGCAATATTCCTGGGGTATATTCCCCTTGGTTTACCTGAAAAAGTTTATTATAACACAGCCTTGAAAATTCTGTGTTCTGCTTGGTCAGCTATAAAAATGCTACATAAGCTTCTCCTAACAGCGTATCAGAACTCCATTCTCCACATTTCTCCCGCCAGAGACATGCCCATTTATACAGCTGTTGATTTTCTTTCTCTGAGTCCCTTCATGTTTCACAAAATGTCCCTCAAGTTCTAATGCCAGCTCCCCTGTCTTTATCTCATTTCATTGCAACACGTTTTAGCCTTTGGTCTGAAATATTTTCAGATGCTCTGAAAAATTTGAGTGAATCACACTCCCAGGTCAACTTATCCTAAATCAATACATCAGTTGGCATGGTTTCCTTATTTTCAGATCCCAGTGTTGTGTCCTTGGTTGGTTATTCTTTTTTTTTTTTTTTTTTTGGAGACGGAGTTTCGCTCTTGTTAGCCAGGCTGGAGTGCAATGGTGCGATCTCAGCTCACCGCAACCTCTGCCTCCTGAGTAGCTCAGATTACAGGCACGTGCCACCATGCCCAGCTAATTTTTTGTATTTTTAGTAGAGACGGGGTTTCACCATGTTGACCAGGATGGTCTCGATCTCTTGATCTCGTGATCCACCTGCCTCGGCCTCCCAAAGTGCTGGGATTACAGGCATGAGCCACCGCGCCTGGCCGGTCGGTTATTCTTCTTTACTGTGCCAACGCTACCCTTCATCATTAACCCCACTTCTTTGGGAAGCAGAGCAGAGTGCATTGGCTCCTTAGGAGTGCTCTTTCTTTCTCTTTCTTTCTTTCTTTCTTCTTTCTTTCTTTCTTTCTTCTTTCTCATTTCTTTCTTTCTTTCTTTTTGATGGAGTCTCACACTGTCACTCAGGCTGTGTGGAGTGCCATGGCACGATCTCAGTGCACTGCAACCTCTGCCTCCTGGGTTCAAGCAGTTCTCCTGCCTCAGCCTCCCAAGTAGCTGGGACTACAGGCTCGTGCCACCACACCCAGCTAATTTTTGTATTTTTTGGGGGGGAGAGATGGGGTTTCACAATGTTGGCCAGGATGGTCTCAATCTCTTGACCTTGTGATCCGCCCGCCTTGGCCTCCCAAAGTGCTGGGATTACAGGCGTGAGCCACGGTGCCCAGCCAGCAGGAGTCCTGTTCTGCACAGCAGTCATTTGTAATCCTTCAGGTCACTAGCACAGCCATCATCTCTAATAGACACATTTTTGCCAATACCTGCTTGATTATCCAGCACCCCTAATTTTCCTGGCTCAGGGACTGCTTTAAGATGGGGAACCTCTTTAATCTTCTCTCTAGGAGAGAGCTAGCAAGATCATCAGTCACCTGTCAGGTCCCCCAACTCAGTAGGAAGCAGGACAATGCAGTATTTAATTTGTGGTTTCTGAAGCTAGCTGCCGAAGGTTCAAGTCCCATCTCTTGCCAGTGTGGCTTTGGGCAAGTTAATCCCCTCTGTCAAGTGGGGGGTAATAACAGTTCATCTCCCATAGGATTCTTAGAAGGATAAGGCAGATTGGTTTGCATAAAGCATTTATTTACAGCAGTACTTTCAACAAAGTAAGTGCTATGTGAGTCATTTTTATTACCATAAGCAAAGCTTTCTACATTCGTTGACCTGACGACCTTCTGGCAAACTTCTGTTCTCTTTGGACATTATTCAGCAGGCACTCTTTACATCCTCCTTTCGCTGCCGTATCTCTAGCTGTCACCAAATCTGCTGCACGTTCCTGCCTACCCTACCGGCCTCACTTGGACTCTCCTGCCCGCTTCCAGTTAGCCAGCGGAGGATTTTCCTGTCTCTGGGAATCTCGGAGGAAATCTTGCAATGCTGGTGCACACTCTCCTTCAGTTATAATGATATACCTTAAAAGTTTTACATTTATAAATGTCTATTTTCACACTCTCATTCTAAAATAGAATTGATGGTGACTTTCGTCCCAGTTCAGCCCCATGAAAACTCATTTTTCCCTCTTTTCTTTTCCTCACAGCTCCTAAACTTCCTTTGGGGAGTGGTCTAGGTTGTGGGCCCCAGGACTGGGTAACTGATATTCCCAGGAGTACCCTGGAGAAGGCAGGGCCAGAGGAAGAGCTGGGATGGTGGCAAATTCCAAAGACAAATACACATTATAGATAAGGCAACAGCATGACACGAGGCTGAAGCGGAGGGCCGGGGCCACACTGCGGTGGAGCGGGGTCTGATTCACACTGAGACGGAGATGAGTCTCCTTCCTTCTCCTTCTGATAGGTTAGTGGAGTTACAAGTCAGGGAAGGAAGGAAGGGGTCCCAGACCCAGACTTGCTCTTTCTGAAATCCAGGGCTTCCCCAGGGACTGGGTCAGTCAACTGGGGAATGGGAACAGGGGTCTGGGCTCAAACGTGGTGTAGTGAAAAGGACACCAGACCACGAGTCCAGTCTAGTCTGGTTCTGTCTTGGTCCACTTCTTTTTTTTTTTTTTTTTTTGAGACGGAGTTTCACTCTTGTTACCCAGGCTGGAGTGCAATGGCGCGAACTCGGCTCACCGCAACCTCCGTCTCCTGGGTTCAGGCAATTCTCCTGCCTCAGCCTCCTGAGTAGCTGGGATTACAGGCACGCGCTACCATGCCCAGCTGATTTTTTGTATTTTTAGTAGAGACGGGGTTTCACCATGTTGACCAGGATGGTCTCGATCTCTCGACCTCGTGATCCACCCGCCTCGGCCTCCCAAAGTGCTGGGATTACAGGCTTGAGCCACCGCGCCCGGCTTCTGTCTTGGTCCACTTCTAACTAGTTATGTACGCCCAGGGGAGTCACGCCCTCCTCTGTCAGTTTTTCTTAAAGAGGAGATTGAGTGGTTTAGCAACTTTCAAATGTTTTCTCCCACTGAAGAGCAAGCTGGCCTAATGTGTTCTACAGCTAAAATCAAACAAGGGTCTCTCTGTTGTAAAATAACAACAACAACAGTATTAATTAGTGTACAGAAGTTTCACAATGTAAGTTCTCCCCCTACGAATATTTCCAAATCAGTGCTACCTGCTCCCCTCTATATTAGAATATAGTACAAATGGAGTCTGATTCTGAAAGCAACTCATATCTAATACATTTAAGATTAGGCGATATACATGCTCTTTTGCAATAAGGAACGTGGCTTTCAGATGTTTTTCCAACTGAAGAATTCTGAGAGACACCGAGGCTCTTGCAGCGTAAAGCCTGATTCCTCCCTGGGTTTTCAGGGAACAACAGATGCAGGTGGAAAGACGCGGCTTCCAGGAGTTGGGCGGTCATGTTCCCACTGACTTTTACCTTCCATTTTACACAGCAAATGCAGCCATGTTCCCCAAACTCAAGCACTGATCTGAAGAAGCCTCTGTGATCCACCTGAAAGCACACCCTTCTCTACTGGTCCCGAAGCTGACTCTCCCAAGGGCCGCACCCCCTGGGCTGAGCTGGCTGCAGAGGAGAGCATGCAGTGGAAGTTGAATCACTGAGCCCCCGCCTCACAGCCCTCTTTTGACTTTTGGGTGGTGGAGCGAGAATATGAATTTTTTTTTTTTTTTTTTTTTTTTTTTTCTTGAGACAGAGTCTCGCTCTTGTTACCCAGGCTGGAGTGCAATGGCGCGATCTCGGCTCACCGCAACCATGGAGCGAGACTATGAAGGGACCCTGCCCTACATCACGGAACCCCCAAACGCTTTCTGTGACTAGCCACCAGAGGCTGCCCCGCTCTCCTTTCTCATAGCCTGGGGTGTGGGAGCACTAGCTCCTGGTCCTGGGGGCTGCCAGTGGCCTTGGAACCACATCCAGGCGGAGAGCATGATTCACCCACTGGGGTCTGACAGCTCTTCTCTTCCTTCCCACTCTGCCAGGTGGAGAAGATGCGGCTCACTGCTTCTCCGGACTGGGAATGGGGAGGGGGTGGGGGGAACAGCCAAGGAGGAGGGGAGGGTTGGCCCTCCTGGTGGGAGGTAAGGCACTGGCAGGGGGAGGACGAGGATGGCAGGTGCTTCTCTGCAAGCTGGGACAATTCAGTCCGGCTACGTGGATCCGTGGAAGGAGGACCCCCACGTCAGCCAACCCCTGAGATCCAGGCCACGGAACCGTGGCTCAGTGACAGGGACAGTGGTGGCCACCATCACTATTCTCCTGTGAGGCTGCTTTTGTCTGTTTTTCCTCCTTGGTTCTCTCAGCTGGTGGGTTTGTGCCTGGGGCTCCAGTAATGGGAAGAAAGCCCACCTCACCACAGCTACTGCCCATGAGAGTATAACCAGGGCAATGGGACGACAGTGGGCACTGAAGGCTAGGGTGGGTGGGAGCTGTGGGTCGATTATTTATCATGAGTAGGCAGGAGAGGGAGATCCCACTAGGCTCTGGAGGCCAGGGCCTGGAGTAGGGGAAGGTGTCTGTGTCCCTGAGGAATGGATGCATTTCTCCTGCCTGTTCCCTCGACACCAGTCAGCAGCCACTCACGCAGGGGTGAGGGCGTCTCTGGGCAAGGCCCTGCTTCCAGCCTCTGTCCTCTGCCCCTACTTGAGTTTCTTTGTCAAATAGACAACAACTGCTCATGGCTGAGGTCTCAAGGGACCAGCGAAAGGCCTGCAGGAAAGGGGTTGGGTTGGACAGGAGAGAGAATGGGCCGGGTGGACAGGGGCGGTGCCCGAGGTGCGGCTGAACCCCAGACGGGGTGAGGAGGGCTGCTGAGGAGTTGCCAGTCCCGGGCCCAGCACGTGGCCCTGGAGGAGTGGCCCCACCCAGGCAGCACTGCCGCTGCCCTAGTCAGGAGATCTCGCTGCCGAACACCTCCAGCACAAGGGGCGTGAGCTTCATGCTGCACTCGGGCTGGAAGGAGAGACAGCGGTACTGCTTGGAGTGCTCCTCGTTGAGGCTGCGCAGGTCGGCCAGCTTCTGGATCATCTTGGCATAGAGCAGGTGGCTGCCTGGGGGCGGGTGGCGGCAGCGGATATAGGTCTGTAGCGTGTTGGACAGGCGGTCCTGGATGGCCTCAATTAGGGCAGCATCCTGCACCCCGGGACGATCTGTGGGCACGAGGTAGAGAAGGCACAGCAGGTCTGAGCTGGGCCCCTCGTTGCTCAGTCCCACCACCCCCCACCCACACAGACACACAATGGCAGCTCCCTCTAGGCGACCCCTCTGTGGCTGCTGACCGGTGATACCGCCCGGCCCCAAAGCCCTTCAGCAACGTCTCCTTGCGTTTAGGATCTAGTCCCAGGTCCTTCCATCGGCCCACCTGGCCCTGGCCCTGCCTGGCCTCACTCCCTGTCCATGCTCCTTCCACCCCTCAGCATCCTGATGTGCCATGCTCTCCGGCCACCAGCCTCCCCATCTGTGTTCCCTCTGCTTGGAACTCTGCTCTGCTATCTTTGCCAGACTCCTAGTGATCCTTCAGGTAGCAGCTTAAAAGGTCTTCCTCCAAAAGGCCATTCCTGGCCACACTACCTCCATGGCCCAGACCAGGTCAGCTTCCCTCCTTCTAGTCTGCCCTTCTGTAGTAACACTTCCTTTATTTAAAAAACCCATGCCATGTTAGGAATTTGTTGTCAAATAGCATTTGTTTAATGTTTCCTCCTAAGCTTCATGGGAGAGGGGCCTGTGTCTTGTTTGCTGCTGAATCCCAGTACCTAGCACAGAGCCTTGTACCTAATGGGTGCTCAATAAACTGTTGCTAAGTGGATGAATGAATGAGTGAGTGAAGGCTGGCTGGCAGGGGTAGTGGAGTCCACCTCCATTCTTGAGCCTCCAGTCCAGGAAAGCATCCCTGGGCAGAGGCCACTAGCTTGTCCCCTGAACACAGCACAGGCTGAGGCAGGGCCGCCCCTCTTTGGACCTCATCACCAACACAACGTCCCCGAGGTTACAATAACTTCCTCTTCAGCCTTTTCTCCCTCTTCTCACCTCTAATAAGCAGAAGAGGTCAAGGGTCACAGCACACTACCTCCAAAATCAATCAGGTAAACTGTCTAGGTAGAACCATCTATCAGACTCCAGGGTTTTGTACCCTGCCCCTGAGAAACCTCAAATAACAGCAATGTCGAGCCCGGTTCACACAACAGTAGAGCCTGAGTGTGGCTTGAGGAACCCTGCTCATCTAGTTCCTCAGAATCTGCCCTCGGAATGCCCCCTAGTTCCTCAGAATGCTACCTGCAAGCTCCGTAAGGCAAAGCCAAGGGCAGCGAGGGGCTCCTCAGTGTCCACACACCACGGGGGTGGTGGAAACCAGCAAAGTCGGCCTTTCCCTCTCTGCCTCTCCTTTTGCCACTTCTCCGTTCCGGTGGCCCAGCTGGCCCTCAGCAGTCCTTCATACTGCCCACTCCCCAGGGCCCTGAGCTCCTCTCTGCGGGGCCCCATACCTGGGGAAACGATGCAGATGGCCATGAGCAGGACGTGCTCCTCCTCATGCAAGTTCAACTTCTTCAGTCCTACCTGGAACTTGAGGAGGGGCTCAATCAGCTCCAGGTTGTATCCTGCTGTGAGACACAATGGCCAGGTACTACGGGCAGAGCTGAGGAGCCACCCACCCACCTTCAACCCCGATGGGCCCGACCCTCGCCCTTCTCTCCCTTCAGCTCCCTCCCGTGTGTCTGATTGGAGCCCAAACCCCAGGACGGGTGGAGCCAGAGTCTGGGGGCTGGAAGAGGCGGAGGTGTAGTCCAGGCATACCTTTGGTCACGTCACTGACGCGGTACTTGTAGTCTTGTTTGCCGCAGGTCCAGGACATGTCGTCTGTGGTGAAGGACTCATTGGAGCGCAGCATGATGACCTCAATGGCGCTTGACTTCAGCAGCACGATCTGGTCCTCAGAGGTGAGGTCTCTGCATGGGAGGGAGGGAGGGAGGTGAGTTTAGCAGTCAAGACCGTCAAGCCACACAAATCAGTTTAGTGTTTTGACAGGCATACACCTGCTGGGCAACCAACATGTGCCCTGGGTCTTTCATCAAGGAGATGGCAGCCTGACCGGAAGGGACAAGAGTGTTCCTTGAAAGAGAACAGTTCAACACTGTGATTGTGTGCCGGGGCCAGAAGTGAAGTAGCTCAGTCACTAAGAAAGGGAAAACCCAGAGAGTAAGCAGCCAGAGCTATGAGGCAAAAGAAGACAGAGCCCAGGGAAGCTCCTAGCGTTGAGGCATGCATCTGGCAGTCTGCAAAAGGTAGGGCCACAATATCTTCAACAACACCCAAGTTTTTTTTTTTTTTTTTTTTTTTTAAATGTGTGCCATTGCTTTTTTTTTTTTTGAGGCAAGGTCTCCCTCTGTCACCCAGGCTGGAGGGCAGTGGCGCGATCTTGGTTCACTACAACCTCTGCCTCCTGGGTTCAAGCGATTCTTCTGCCTCAGCCTCCCGAGTAGGTAGGACTACAGGCACATACCACTGTACCCAGCTAATTTTTGCATTTTTAGTAGAGGTGGGGTTTCACCATGTTGGCCAGGCTTGTCTCGAACTCCTGATCTCAGGTGATCTGCCCACCTTGGTCTCCCAAAGTGCTGGGATTATGGTGTGAGCCACTGTGCCCGGCCACTTGTATTCTGCTCTTATTTGTAAGTTACCTGGGGGTCAGCACCTCCTCTTAAATACCTTACTGTTGCCCACACACTGATCGTTGAGCCCCGAGCACAACAAGGGGATCAATAGGTATGCACTGATGAGTTGAGAGGCCAGTGACTGGTTCCACTATTCTGAGTCATGACTGGGCTTGTCTGAACAATGGCAAGGCAAAGCCAGGACCCACAAATAACTTGCTTCTGGCTTTTACTCCCTTTCTCTTCCTGACTGTCTACTTCCTCCTGGATATCCTGTAGATAGGCTGTCGTCCCCTCGATGGATGCACGTTTATATATAAAGACGGGAAGCAGCTATTAACTGATGAGAGTGTTGCATCAATGAGTGACAGATGATGGAGAATCAGAAGGCTTGCATGATCAGGATGGCCAGCAAAGGATCTGTATTGAAAAAAATCACAAAGTGCTAGAGTTGGAGGGCCCCTCTTAGAAACTCATAGAGATGGCTCCCACATAACCTCTGCAGGACACTCCTGTGGTCAGGGTGCTCAGGGCCCCTGGACATGGCCATGGGGTTGTTAGGCAGTGCTGTTAATGGCCTCCTTTCCTAGCAGCTACCACCCACATGATGGTACACTCTTTGTCATTTACAGTTTTGTACTCCCAAGAAACACAGAACCAGACTTCTCCACTAGCCGTGGGACTTCCTTTGAACCATAGCTAATGGAGTTTTTTAAAAAGGAAAATCACCACGCCCTCCTTCAGACAGTCTAATGACACAGTGTCTAAGCATCTGACCATCCTTGTCACTTTGCTCAATGTGCTCAATCCACATTTAAAAACAAAAGTGAACACCATCCCCATTTTTGTTTTGACTCATACAAGTAAAACATACTCATTAGCAAATCTTTGGAAAATACATAAAAATGTAAAAGCAAATTAAAATTTCTCATAACCACACGTCACATTTTGGTGTATTTCCTTCCTTTTTTCTTATTTATATATTTATTTACCTCGAGACATAGTTTTGCTCTTGTTGCCCAGGCTGAAGTGCAATGGCACACTCTTGGCTTACTGTACCCTCCCCGTCCCAAGTTCAGGCGATTCTCCTGCTTCAGACCCCCGAGTAGCTGGGATTATAGGCACGTACCACCACGCCCGGCTAATATTTAGTAAAACAGGGTTTTGCCCTGTTGGCCAGGCTGGTCTCGAACTCCTGACCTTGAGTGATCTGCCCACCTCAGCCTCCCAAAGTTTTGGCAATACAGGTGTGAGCCATCATGCCTGGGCCTTTCTATCTTTTATTCTGCACACACATACACACACACACACACACACACACACACACACACACATACATAGAGTATATATTTAACATATTTGAGTTTATACTAATTCTGTATCCTACTCCCTATATCACTCAAAATTCTTTAGCCCAGTTCTTAGAGGTTGCATACTGTTACATCATAGCAATGTACTCTAAGTGATTAAGCCAGTCTCCCATTTACCTGTGATGGACATTTTGGTTGCTTCTCCTTTTTGCTATCACAGGTAATTCTGAGAGGAGTATCTTTATACATGGCCTTTTGTTCAATGTCCCACCCAAACAGATGACCAGCAACGAACACACCTTTTATGGGTACAGGCCAGAGGGACTTCAGTGGGAACACTGCATATGCGATTCAGACATACTGCTGCTAGGAGCACAAACCCAAAACAACCCCAAATGACGGCCCACAGTTTGGAAATACAGGGCCTTTCTAAGTATAGCTCACGGCCAGCACCAGGGATGCTGGCGGGGTGGGAGTAGAGGTGGAATTACGGGGGGAGCCATAAGAGAGCTTGTTGCACGATGACAGGCACCGGCACAGCTCCGTTCCTCATCCCTCACCTGTGTGACATTGATACCCTCTTCCGTCTTCACGCCTGCAGCCGCTTCCAGGCATCCGAGATGTGCCTGGAATTGTGTTGCTGTTTTGCCTTTCCCACCCCACAGGCAGAGCCCGGGCCCTCCCCTCCCACATTCCCACAGTACCTCCAGCAGGCTTGCAGCAGGGCTCTTATCTCCTTGCAGCAATTGTTTATATGTCTATCTTTCATCAGACACCAAACCCCTGGATGCCAGGGACTGTGTTCTCAACAACTTTTGTCCCTCACAGTTTATGTAAGAAAGCGATTCGTTGGATGAATGAAGAAACGAACGTGGAGAAAGGGCACAGTATGAAGAAAGCATGATAACCCCCAGGCCTTTGAAGAGCCCTGGGAATGGAGGTGACAATGACGATGAAGGCATTTAGCAGAAGAGGGCAGGGCTGCAGCTGATGTGGCCTGTTCTCCCGTGTACTTGGCAGTGAAGCCTGGGAGTCCTAGGTCTCGGATCTGAGGCGGCTCCTGGCCATTTAGATGCTGCTGCTGACAGCAACTCCTCCATGCATTTCATTTGCAGTGCCAGCAAGGAGGGAGATTTGTGGGGTGAAACGGAGAGGCTAAGGGAGGAGAGGTGGGAGGAGAGAGCAGGCCGAGGCCACACCGCAGCACAGTTCACACCCAGAACAGCCGGTCCAGCCCCGCCCCACATTGGTCTCACGCCCACACCGGAGACTCACCCTGTGCCCCCACGCACCCACACAGGAGTCTCATCTTGCCTTCCCCACACCCTCCGCCCCTGCCTACAGACAGCAAGATCAAAGCCACCAGGGACACAGCCACTCTTCTTCTATGTCTTGGAAAAACAGAACCCCTAAGTGTGGAAAGCAGCAGAACCGGAGAGATGCTGGGCTGGCCCACGCTGCGCCCAGTTGGAGCCTGGGTTTGGGCTCCAGTCCAGGCTCAGCATCACCTCTGCTCAGTCACAGAGAGTGTCCACACCAGTGTCCCTACACCTCTCTTAGCAAGGTTTTCTCCATTTTCATGGAATACCTTCTGCTATGGGACTTCTCAAGTTGTACTGAAGACAGAGAAGCCAACCCCAGCATGTTCAGGATCAGTTAAACCCATTTTGCATCAATGGCTGGGCAGCTCCCGTACCTGCCCATATGTACCTCACTTTAGCTGAGAGTTGCAAGGACAGAGTAGGGGACATAGGAAAACGTGATAAAAGGAAGAAGGCAGACTTCAACTTAAGCTCGGGAGAGAAACTGAGGGTAGTGCTATTTGTGTCAGGATACTTGTGGGAGGGCAAGGGTTAGCGGCCTTTTAGCATGGGAGAAAAGTGAGGCTGGGGTTCCTTAGTGAAAGCGACAGCATTGGAGTAACCTGGTTTAATGAGTAACTTTCTCTTTCGCACAGCTTTCTCATGTGTGCAATCTCAGCCACCATTGGAATCACTGAACCTTGGTATCTGGGAAGTGCCATGGGGGTCCTCTGTCCTGCTCCCCACTGGAGCAGGGAAAGGTGAAGTCTCTGCTGCCTGGCATGGGGATGGAAGCTGAGAGCTCCCGTGTCTTTTCCCTAGCTGTTTACCCAAAACAAGACTTTGGAATATGTGGAGTTTGCAAACAGTAAGCGTGGAGGAGGGAGTTGGAACTTGTGCTCGACGGAATGTGTTGTCAGTTCCAAGGAAAGGCGCTGAGGGTAAACCCCAGGCCCACAGCCATGCCGGGCTCACACGAGATCTGCCGCTTGCTCCTGCCTGCCTGCCTATCACTACAAGCAAAATGTGCAACGCAGTAGGAGTGTCTCAACACTGTCTGACAGTTTTCTCTTCTTCACCATTTTCACACTAATTCCAGGGGAACATCATGGAAAAGTTTCTGCTATCTGGGTTGGTGAGAAGCGTAAAATAACACAGAGCCAGTTTTCTCAGGGCAGAAACAAACTGGAAAGTTCTGGGTTTAACTCTGTGAATTTACCATCATCTCACCGACAAGGCAGTAATTTAGGCAATAACTGATGGTTTTTCTACACAGCTAAGAGGTCCATCAACCAAGAAATGACGCCTCATATCTGTTTCCATCCAGAGCCAGCAATGTTAACTCATTTTGCAGATCCCCATATTCCGGCACTGAATCCGAGCATCAGTATCTAGGAAGCAGTCTTCCCCTTTTGCCAGAACTACAGGTATTGCCACTACTTGAAATGACAACATTGCTTGAGATTAACTCCTCTTTCTCAACCATATGGTTTATGTATTTTATGGCAATATACCAAATGAACTTTTGGGAATAATGAAGATACAAATATACATAAATATAGCCATTTCCCAGCATATCTACTAAATGTGTCAATACTCTATTGTTTTAAGAATATTGGCCGGGCGTGGTGGCTCATACCTGTAATCCCAGCACTTTGGGAGGCTGAGGCCGGAGGATCACCTGAGGTCAGAAGTTTGACACCAGCCTCACCAATGTGGTGAAACCCCATCTCTACTACTAAAAATACAAAACTAGCCAGATGTGGTGGCATATGCCTGTAATCCCGGCTACTTGGGAGGTTGAGGCAGGAGAATTACTTGAACGTGGGAGGCAGAGGTTGCAGCGAGCTGAGATCATGTCATTGTACTCCAGCCTGAGCAACAAGAGTGAAACTCCATCTCAAAAAAAAAAAAAAAAAAAAAAATTAGCCAGGCGTGGTGGTACATGCCTGTAGTTCCACCTACTTGAGAGGCTGAGGCAGGAGAATTGGCTGAACCCAGGAGACAGAGGTTGCAGTGAGCCAAGATTGTGCCATTGCACTCCAGCCTGGGTGACAAGAGCAAAACTCCGTCTCAAAAAAAAAAAAAAAAAAAAAAAAAAAGTAAGTATTATACACACTATTAGTATTAAAACAATAAAACATAGGAATGAATGAATAAAATTTATATGAGTGAAATAATAAAGGAGGATCCCTTCTCCAGTAGAACTCTTTATACTTATCTATTTTGGCAAAAATGTTTCGTATGGTTAGAAAACGGTCTTTATTTTTTTTCTTTTTTGAGACAGGGTCTTGCTCTAGGAGTGCAGTGGTGCAATCTTGGCTCACTGCAGCCTTGATCTCCTTGACTCAAGTGATCCCACCTCAGCTTCCCTAGCAGCTAGGACTACAGGTATGCGCCGCCACACCCGGCTAATTTATAAAAATTTTTTGTAGAAAAGAGATTTCACTATGTTGCTCAGGCTGGTCTGAACTCTTGGGCTGAAGCAATCCTCCTACCTCAGCCTCTCGAAGTGTTGGGATTATAGGCATGAGCCACTGTGCCCAGCCAGGAAATGGTCTTTAAATGTACATTTTGGTGAAGGATGCCAGGGTCGTATATGCCAGGAAACCCCTCTCTCCAGGATTCCTAGACTGTCTCATAAGTCTACATGGCCAAGCCCTTTTACTCTCTATTACTTCATTCTGGTCTCAGAGTTGGGGTGTGGAGGAATCGTATCGATGAATTTAAAGAGATAATATGAGGATTGTAGTCAAGCCAGCTGGAGTGAACACAGCAGTGAACTGGGAGTTCTACGCCTGGCTCTGACATACTGGCTGCAACACCAGGAAGGGATACTGGCTGGCCATTGGACCTCTCTGGGCTTTCACAGCATCACCCAGAAAGTGCAGGGACGGACTAGCTCTCCAGTGCTGGTGTGCAGAGTAATGCAGGACAGGCTGCACTTCCTAGAGACAGATTCCTGGGCCTACGCCAGAGATTCTGATTTAGCAGGTCTAGGGTAGGGCCTGAAACTCTATTTTTAAAGAAGCAGTGGAAGCTGGGTGCGGTGGCTCATTCCTGTAATCCCAGCACTTTGGGAGGCCAAGGTAGGTGGATCATTTGAGGTCAGGAGTTTGAGACTAGCCTGGCCAACATGGTGAAACCCCAGCTCTACTAAAAATACAAAAATTAGCCAGGTGTGGTGGCGGGTCCCAGCTACTTGGGAGGCTGAAGCAAGATAATTGCTTGAACCTGCGATGTGGATGTTGCAGTGAGCTGAGATCAAGCCACTGCACTCCAGCCTGGGTGACAGAGTGAGACTACATTTAAAAAAATAAAGAAATAAATAGTGAATGGTTGATCTTCAACCCTTCCTCTAGCTCAGTCTAAGACTCTGACTCTGTTCCCCAGACAATGCAGAAGTTTCTTACCTGAATCCTGGGATCATCTTAGCAAAGCCAATGACCTTTTGGATGCTGTAACTGACCAGGTCAGCCAGATGGGGCAGCATGGAGAGCTGGGACAGGTCCAGGGTCACAGAACCATCATCTGAATCTTCTTCACTCAGATCCAGGTTGGAGAAGCTGGATGATTCCATGTCTGGGGGACATGAGGGAAGAGAAAGAGCTATTTAAGGAAACCTGGACCAGGCCCCCTCCTGCCAGCCCCTGCAAAGACCTGGTGTGTCCTGGCAGCAAAGCCAGCTGGGAATCCCACAGTGACTCCAGAGATCACCCTTCAGCCCCAGACTTCCCTGTGGGATTCTCTCTGTCTCTTTCAGCAGGATGAGGCAGTAAAATCAAAGAGACAGAGACACTCAGAGCAATGAGACTACCTCAAGCAGACCATGTGCTGTTTCTACAGATTTCAACCAAAAATGAATTTGGGACCCATCAACCCATGGAAAAAAATGTTCAACCTTGCTAATGATCAAAGAACTGCAATGTAGAACATCTATACTTTTCACCTATAAACTAGAAACAAAAATGTTTAAATATTGATGCCAGTATTTGTAAAGATGCAGGAAATTAGGCAATACCTGTGAGGGTTGGGGTGCCAAAGGAGATGTACATTACTGCAGGTAATCCAGAAAACCATTTGACATTAGTCACACAATTATGTATACTCTTTGACCAGTAATCCCACTTCCTGGAATTCATTGTAAGGGAAAATTTCAGATAGTGTAAATATTCAGCTACAAGTATACTGTTATCTTACTGAAAAGCTGGGAAATAATCCAGATATCCAATGGTAGGGGGTTTAGGTACATTACTATATTCCAGAGTACTATGCAGCCTTTAAAAATTATATTCTGAGGCTGGGCATGGTGGCTCACACCTGTAATCCCAGCACTTTGGGAGGCTGAGGTGGGCAAATCACGAGGTCAGGAGATTGAGACCAGCTTGGCCAGCAGGTGAAACTCTATCTCTACTAAAAACACAAAAATTAGCTGGATGTGGTGGTGTGTGCCTGTAGTCCCGGCTACTCAGGAGGTTGAGGCAGGAGAATTGCTTGAATCCAGGAGGTGGAGGTTTTAGTGAGCCGAGATTGTACCACTGCACTCCAACCTGGGCAACAAAGCGAGACTTCGTCTCAAAAAAAAAAAAAAAAAGCACGATGCCTCCCAGACTGTCTACTGAGGACAGGTCCTCCAGGACCAGAGTGGTCCCCAGGGCTCAGGTGAAGGGTGGGCTGCATTGGGACCAACATGTTCGCCTTCCCACTCCAAATTTCACCTTCTAAAGGGCCCAGGATCAAAATATCACTTAAAGGAAGCCAGTCACCTCCAGGGAGGGGGCCGCGGGCTGAAGCCTGGCTTAGAGGAAAGAGCATTGGCCCAGGATATTGCCCAGCTAGAATCCCAGTTTGGCCTCTTCCCTGGTGTGGGGCCTTGGGCAAGTCACCCCTTCTGTAACAGAGAGCCTGTTCTGAGGACACTGAATGGCACACGGTATGTATATAAGTTTCCATTAGGGAGCTTTCCACCTCCTTCCATCCAGCAGCCCCAGGGCAGGTGGGGTGGACTCCTTGCCCCTGCCCACTGACTTATGGAGGACTGAGGTCCTGCTTACCTGGAGAGGTGATACAGTGATCTGAGCAGCAGGAGGAGGAGTCCCCGGAGAAGCTAGGAGTCTGTCTCGAGTTGGTCCTGGAAGGATAGCTCCCTACACCATCATTCACACGAATCGGAGGCTGGAAGGGAAAGATGGGGTCTCAGACCCACATTTTGGCGTCACCTTCCTACCTTGGCACTGATCTCTGACAGGAATGGCTTTGAGGAAGGTCTCCAGAAGGTGAGGCCTCCCAGTGCCTGGGAGCAGAGCAGCCTCCATCCCTACCCCAGTTCTGTTCAGGATGTTCCCTGCCCTCTGTTCATACTCCCTGGGCCCCAGCTCCTCTAGTGCTTCTCCTCTGGACTGGCTCATCCTCCCAGCAGGCAGACATACCCGAAACTGGCAGAAGTCAGAGTAGGTGGGGTCATAGGTCTTATGGTGGGCATCCAGCAGGACGGCGATGATGTGCTGCTGCTCCTCGGACAGCTTGGGCCGCAGACTGTCCTTCAAGGCCTCCTCCTCCTTCCGCTTCAGGATCATCTCCCGCTTCCTCTGCACCTCCTCATCTGTCAGGATAACTGTGGGGCGGGAGGGGAGTCAGGAGGGCCGGCCAGCAGCTCCTCCAGGAAACCTGCCTCCTGCGGTTGTGGGTAAAGGCCCAAGATAGGAGGGGCTTCAGCACTCAGGGCTCCCTCGAGGGTCCTCCTGCCACGGGGACTCCCACTTCACTATATGAAGAAACACTGGGTTTGCTATGGTGAAAAGGAAGGCACGTGCAAGAAGAAGAGTAAGAAGATTTGAGAGATGGGATGGTCTGGGCTTCAGGGAGTCGGGGTTCTCAAGAATGAGTTGCGGGACCTTGGGCAAGCTTTCTGGGCTTTCGTTCTCTTGTTTGTAAGATGAGAGGTTCGGGTCACATACGCTCTTCCAAGGCTCCTTTCTTGTACCTTCCTCCGTAAGATGTGTGTGTGTCTCTGTGTGTTCATATGCAGGTCGGGGAAGTGCCACCACCTGCCTCAAAGGATCCACCGATGCCTGGCCCAGAGCAGATGCTCACTAAATGCTAGTTCTCTTCTCTCCCCGCCCCCATGTTCCATGACCGGGAAGAAGACGTCAGGGTGGACAGAGGGTGCCAGAGTAACTGTGTGGACTCTCACAGTGTTGGACGTGAGGAGATGTGGAGTTGGCTCTGCTATGTGGCTGTCTCCACATCCAAGTTTCCAGACGTGGGGCTCTGGAATATAGAAAGACGAGGCTTCTTCGGTTCTCTGCAAAACCACCCCTCCTCCGGCCCCTACAGCTTTGACGCGTCTGTCCTTGGAAGTCTGCAAGTCCTCTGGAAAGCCTCAAAGGGTGAGGACTCGCAGCTCTAATCTTGGAAGTTCTCTCCAGCCATAGTCAGGGCGTTGGGCGGTAGACAGCCCCAACACCACCTGCTGGGGCAGCTGCGGGGGTGGCAGGAGGATGCTGGGAGCAGAGGTGCCTGGCACGGCGGCTGGGCAAACAGACCTCCTGGCTGTGGCTTGCTGAGTGCTGACGGCAGGAGTGGGCACCGGGGCCCTCGGCCTGTATCTACTTGCTTGGTGCTGGTGCTGCCAGGGCATCTGCCCACAGAACTGGGGAGTTTCACAAGAGCAAGGAAAAGGAACCAGAAGCCCAGGGTGGGTGAGTTCCAGGCTTCGAGAAAGGTCCATTGGCCCAGGTAGGAGGAGGATGAGAGAAGTTGGTGGGGGTGAGGAAGAGCCTATGATGGGTGGGAGTGGGCAGCCAGTGCCACTGGCATGGCAGGAAAGGGAGCGCTACTGCAAGAGATGGAGCTTCCCTCCATGGGGAGCCTGGGAGGAGACCACGCCCAGGCGACTGACTCACCTTCCCCAAGAGCTGCCAACTCTCCTCTCACTGCCGGTGTCTATGCACTCTACCAGGTCAGGCAGGGTGGGAGAGGAAGGGGCAGGGAGCATCCAGGGAAGACAACGGGGTGAGCCCTCACCCGGGGAGCCCAAGATTAGATGTCTGGTCTTTCCTGCTCACCTGGAGACCAGAGTTAAGGAGGCCTGTTTCTGCCAGCCATACCAGGTGTCTACAGGCATGTAGCTCAGCCTGACTGGACTTGGCTAACTTTCCTGTGATTCTGTGATGCTGTTTTCCTGCCCGGATATTCTCCCGGCCCCTACTGCTGACCATGTCCACACTAACGTTGGCTTCTTCCTAACTTTTCGACTTCATTTCTCAGTGCTTCTGGACACAGCCTCTGCTCTGGGCACGCTGGCATTGCTGCTGACCTGAGAACACGAACGGGTCATGCCTGCCCCTGCATTTCCACTTGTGCTGGGTGTGTGTCCAGTTGTGTCTCATCTCTCTAATACCTGTATGCGTTCTATCAGTTCTTCAGGGCCTACCTCATAGCCTTCTTTTTCCATGACACATTTCTCAATTGCCCTGATCTGCACCAAGCCTCATCTTTTCTGCACCTGCTGAGCCTCATTTCTTCTGTCTGCTACATACTTAGTCTTTCCCCCACACACTGGCACCCAATTATCTTCTGTTCTGTAAGACTCATGGTTAGCACAGGTTTTCAATCCATACCTATGGAGGTAGCCCAAGAAGTTCAAGGTCTCTCTCCAGATTACAAGTTACTTAAGGGCAGGGTCCATGCCTTACAATTCTCTCTCTTTTTTTTTTTTTTTTTTGAGATAGTCTTGCTCTATTGCCCAGGCTACAGTGCAGCGGCACCATCTTGGCTCACTGCAACCTCTACCTCCCGGGTTCTAAGCAATTCTCCTGCCTCAGCCTTGGGAGTAGCTGCGATTACAGGCACGCGCCACCATGTCCAGCTAATTTTTTGTATTTTGAGTAGAGACAGGGTTTCACAATGTTGGCCAGGCTGATCTCGAACTCCTGACCTCAGGTGATCCACCCACCTCAGTCTCTCAAAATGCTAGAATTACAGGCATGAGCCACCGCGCCCAGACTTTGTCTTACAATTCTTCTATTTCCTTCCTAAAGGCTAGCCCAGAGGGGCTACCCAGCCGTGGTGCCTGCTCAATAGTCTGACACCAAACATCAAACGCATCCACACAGATCACAGCAACTGTGTGCAAATCCTTTTCCTGGCTTGGGAAAGGCTAGTGAGTACTCCAGTCCTGCTTGTCCCCTGAAATGTAGGGAATGGTACCTGGCACACCAGAGAACTGAGCAAAGCTGACCTCTTTTATTGAAACAATTGTTATGGAAACATTTTCAAGACAGAAAACCTTGTAACGGAACACTTCTAACGTCATATAACCTTTCCTGGATGATTCAGAGGTATCATTCTGAATAATGACTGAACATTGCAGGCCAAGGTTATGGCCTCGGCATTGTCTGAGGCTGCACTGTGCAACTGGGTGTGCTGGGCTTTGGAGTTCTTGGGCTACTTTTCTTGCTTCCAGCGTCCACCCCTCTCTTCTTATTGGTGTCTCTTCTGGAAGTGTGCCTTTCTCCCCACTAAGACTTACTTCTGATCTGTTGGGAGCTAGAAGTTCTAGTGATCAAGTTTGATGTAATAAAAAGAAAATATTCATAACACTGGATCGCACATGTAGAGTTTTTCTATCTACCAGGCACTATGCTAAGAGCTTTTTGTATATTAACTCACGTATTTAGTCCTCATGACAACGCTTTAAGGCAGGTGCTGTTGTTATTCCCATTTAGGAGATGAAGCCCATAGAGGCTTTATACCTGGCTCAAAGTCACACAGCGAACAGTGGTGAAACTGGTATTTAGACCTGGGCAGTCTGGCTCTCGAGTGGAAGGTCCTAGCCACTGCTCTCTACTGTGTCTGATTACAACTGGTTATAAGCGGACCTTGACTTTCAGCTATGGAGTTCTGACACGCATTGTGTTCCAATCCATCTGAAGAGTGTGAAATAAAATTATGTCACAAAGCTTGTAAATTACCTACTTTAAAGAGACAAAGAAGGTTCAAGTTTAAACATTATTCCTCCCAGTCACTTGCATCGAATAGTAACCACCATCTTCTATGCAGTTAACGGAGGAAGAAATGCTGAGATCTATCAGTTTCAAACAGGCTCAAGCTTTCTGCAAGGCAACACTGTTTGAGGACTGTGTAAGTCTGAAGCCTTGCACATATGCAAACATGCTATGATTTATCAAATCATTTGTTTAAAGAGTTTTTTACTTTCTTTTTTTTTTTTTTTTTTTTTTTGGAGACGGAGTTTCGCTCTTGTTACCCAGGCTGGAGTGCAATGGCGCGATCTTGGCTCACCGCAACCTCCGCTTCCTGGGTTCAAGCAATTCTCCTGCCTCAGCCTCCTGAGTAGCTGGGATTACAGGCACACACCACCATGCCCAGCTAATTTTTTGTATTTTTTTTTTAGTAGAGACAGGGTTTCACCTTGTTGACCAGGATGGTCTCGATCTCTCGACCTCGTGATCCACCCGCCTCGGCCTCCCAAAGTGCTGGGATTACAGGCTTGAGCCACCGCGCCCGGCCCGAGTTTTTTACTTTCATAGGAAATTTCTTATCATTTTTTCAATGAATTGAACCTAAAATGTCATTGCTATCATATAGGAAGACACATTTCAAAGTGAAAAGCCATTGACCTGGAATAAGAGTAAACAGGTTCTGAAAGAGTATTGGGCTCTCTGATGATTAGGCATCTAAAGTGTATGAGCTTTGGCATGTGGACTTTGTAAAACCTACATAGCTGGCTCAGAAGCTTTTTTTGACTTCCTTCTAAGTTCCTTGCTGAGTGAAAATAATTTTGCACAGTTATTCCCATGCAAGACATGTTCTCTCCCTGACGAAGTCAAGATCTGCAACATAAACAATTTCAAAATGTTTCAAGATGCCAAGGATGGCCTAAGAACAACCACAGGAAGAGGACATAAAATGTTTCCAAATGAATGGCACAGAAATGATCAGGTTTGGGAGAATCTTACTGATCCACAGACCTGTGGAAGATACACCAAGCCAAAGAAGAAGGAGCTAATATTCATTTATTCCACACATTTATTGAGCACCTACTATGTGCCAGGTACTGTGCTAACACCAGAAAGGAAAGACATACATCTGTAAAAACATCAAACAAGTTACCATAATGTGTGGTTCTGTGCAGGACAGGTATAGTATAAGCCAAAAGCAAGAACTCAGTTATGAAATTTCTTGGGTTCGCAGGGTATAAAGTCAACTAAGTATGGAAAAGAGAGAAAATGAGTCTTTGATGGGAACAAAGCTCTCTTCAGCCCATCTCTTAGAGTGCATGGAAGTGCCTGGAAATGCACATTGGAGTGAGTTCTGACCCACTGGGGGCACGAAAGCCTGCCTTGGGTGTGACCCACAAGCCTGACCTTCGGAAGCAGACAGACCTAGATTAGAATGAACGCTGATACCATTATCTTATTAACTCAGCGCCATGATATTTTAATTTCTCTGAGCTGCCTTAGCTACTGAAAAAATAAAAGCATTTCCATAGTCAGGGAGTGCTGTGAGAATTTCAGAAGAAAATGCATGTGCCTGACATGGGATCCGATACATGGTAGGAGGTCAATACACATGGTTTCTCTTCTCATCCTTTCCCTTCTTGTGCCTCCTCTACGGAAGGCCCATCTCCCTGCCTGGCCAGCAGGAGCCTGGGCTTTCAGCTTCCTTCCTGTGGTTTTACAAATATTGAGACATTCAGTTGTCTCTGGGACACTATGCCTTGGGGACAAAAGCCAGCCCAGATGAGAAATGAGCAGCTCTCCTAGGGTTCTGAGGCTGAGGGATTTCACACTGGCGAGGCCTCCTGAAGCTGGGCTAACGTGAGGCTGGGAATGATGCCTCTTCTTGGACAATCTTCCCTTTGGGGCAGTAAAGAGCACCAGGATGTTTCTGTTTGAACTGGATCCCCACTCCACCGGCCCATTCAGAACTCAGTACTGCTCCCTGCACTGGGATGAGGAGAGTGATGTGGGCAAGAAGCTGCCTTGGGCATATAGCAGGACAGGGATACAGGACTCCACAGGGGAGAACTAGCTGGGGTGGGGGCGGCTGAGGCACAGCACTGATTTCGGGATGGGGTGGATGTTGCTTCTGGGCTGCTGGGTCCCCACCATGTGGTAGGGTGCTCCTGGGCAGGGCCCCTGATGCACCCCAGGCTGGGGCTGCTCTTCAGCATGGATGCAGTGCTGTTTATGGGGCCAGGAGGCAGGTAGGAGGGGACACCGAGTCTGATTCTGGTCCCAGCTTGGCCATCAACTCGCTTTCTGACCCCAGCTGAGGTCTTTACCTGTCTGCCTCTCAGATGTTCTTCCTATTCTAAGTCCGTAGGACATCCGCTTCCTCCTGAGGTGGGAAAGGGGCCTCTTGGGCCTCACTGAGCTTGGCCCTGAGGGGAGCGCCTGTGGCAGTGCCTTACGAGCTGCAGCAGTGGAACCCCATGCCACTCCTAGTGGGCTGGAGCTTAGACACCAGGCTCCCTGCCTTGAAGAGGCCGTGTTCTCCGCGGAGACGGGGCCGTGCTGAGCGCACCTTGTTGGTGCCCACCCTAGCACCTTGCCCTGAGCAGGGCCCACTGAGAATGTGTGTGAAGTCCCATAAGGCACCCAAGCCTCCAGCCTCCACTTTCTCACTCTCTCCAGGATAAACAGAGGAGCTAGGGTGTGGCAGGGACCGAGGTAGGAGCGACCAGCGTGTCCAGGCCTGCACGCTGCTGTGGGGGTGCGGAGGAACCACAGCCCTGGAAACTCCTTCCAGGGCTGCCAGTGTTGGCTGGGGAGCCGTCAGATCAGGAGGAGGAGTCATGACCCACAGAAGAGGAGCCTGGGTCAAGGCCCACAGAGGCAGCCCAAGATGAGGGCTTGAGCTCTGCCTGCGTCCCAACAACAGAGAATTATTTTCCCATTAAGGGAGAAACTCCCCATCCTCTGAGCCCTGTCCTGCAATGTTTCCTCTGTCCCTGACACATCTTCCTGTTACCTGACCTCTCCCCACCGCTCACCACCCAAAACGTTCCCATAGCCAGGAAGGCCTGCATCTGAGCAACACCCCCAACCCAGACCCCGACTCCTTGGGCCCACAGCTATCAGGGCCTGGGTTCTGTCCTGGGGCCGGGTGGGGGTCTGGGTACAGACAGCAGACAGGAGTGAGCAAGGGAAAGTGAACAAGGAATGAGTGTGCAGAGAGCACCCATGCTCAGCTGGCCCCGTGCCCTTGCTCCAGCCCAGAGAGGGCCTGGCTGGCTCTCCCAGCATCTGTTGAATTCAGTGGCTACTCTAGCTACCAAATCACTGTACTACAGCTCCGATGCAAGATTCAAGTGTTTTCAGTGGTGGGTGAGAACGTGTATAAATCTGCCACTTCGGTCTTCTCCAACCCCAGAGTGGGAAAGGAAGTCCTATAGAATCACTCCTCTTTCTTCATCTGGATTCAGAGGGTCACCCCAGAGCCCGGCGCTTCCCCTCACACACTCTTTCTTCCTGGTCTCCCCCTGGCACAAGCCCTCAGATCTGCTCAAGGTGCCAGAGAGGCTGGCAGACTGGGGTGGGACAGAACGCAGATCCCAGCTGTCGTGTGAATACGAATTCTCCCCGTTACTCCTGCCCTTCCCAACCCACAGCAGCCCTCTCTCCCGAAGCCCAGGGAACCTGAGGCTCCTCGAACCTCATTCTGTCCTCTAGATCCAGGGAACAGGGAGCTGCAAGACTAGGATGACATCCTGGAGGAAGACTGTGACCGGGGAGTAGCAGGGGATCTTGAAGGCAGTGTCCTGCCTCTCCTTTCTCGCAGACCCCACTCTGGAGGGGCCCTTCCAGCGCCTCTGACACCAACACACAGGTCCTCAAGAGGCACACAGGGCCACTGAGTGTATCTGACCCTGGACTTCCAGCTGCCCTGCCACCAGCTGCTGGTCCCACTGAGGCCCTGGCCCCAGATGCTGGCAGCTACAGCTACACAGGAAGGGCAGGCAGATCTCTGCCCGAACCTGCAGGAGAGTGGCCAAGGCCTTTCCCCGACTCCAGTCCAGCCCCAAACCCCGGCCAGCCCCTGGACACTCACACTCCTTCATCATGCCGATGTCCACACAGCGTTTGAGCCGGCAGGCCTGGCAGTGGCGCCGGTTGTCCTTGGTGATGCGGCAGTCCCCGTTGAAGGGGCAGGTGAACAGTGCCTTCCGCTTCATGCTTCGCCTGCCAAGAAAGCACACACCATGCCCTGGGTCACCGACCTTCCAGCTCCTCTCTCTGTGACCACAAAGACCTGCCTTCTGGGCCCCCGGGTCTCCATTTCTCTGACAGAGGACATGGGGCCCACCCCAGCTGCCAGCCACTCTCACCTCTAGACCGGGCACCAAGCAATTCCTCCTTCTCCTTTCATTGCCTGCCCAGCTCCTATCATGGCTTGTACTTACCTTTTTAAATTTTTGTGTCTTTTTTTTTTTTTTTTTTTTAAAGAAAGGGTGTCGATTTATAGCCCAGGCTGGAGTGTAGTGGCATGATTTCCGCTCACTGCAGCCTGGACCTCCCGGGTTCAAGTGATCCCCCTGCTTCAGCCTCCAGTGTAGCTGGGACTACAGGTGCATACCACCATGCCTGGATAAGTTTTTAATTTTTTTGTAAAGACGGGGTCTCACTATGTTGCCCAGGCTGGTCTGGAGCTCCTGGGCTGAAGCAGTCCCCTCACCCAGGCCTCCCACAGTGCTGGGATCAGTGTGAGCCACTGCGCCCCAGCCTTATCCTTACTTTCACAGTACTCTCTTCCCCTTCCTCTTTTAACAATTACACAGGAAATACGCAAGAACATTTCCCTTAAAAAAGCTTTTAAATATTGAAATCTCCAGAATAGCCAGCGTAGTAACATCTAATGAGCCACTGTGAGAAGTAAGGGTGCTACTCTCAGCATGAAGTCTTCTGGAGGCCAGAGATGTGTGACTGGAACACCGCCTGTTCCAGGGACGGACATGGACAGGGAAGGGGGAAAAGGCCAAACCATAGCTCCAGACGTGCCAGAACCTGCTCAGCAAGAGAAGGGGCCAGACAAGCAGGTGGAACTCCTGAGGTCTGGCCTTGGATTTTTGAAAGGCAGAGGAAGCAGGAGCTCTGTAAGAACAGAAAACTAGAGGCAGGCACAGTGGCTCACACCTGTAATCCTAACACTTTGGGAGGCCAACGCGGGCAGATCATCTGAGGTCAGGAGTTCGAGACCAGCCTGGCCAACATGGCAAAATCTTGTCTCTACTAAAAATACAAAAATTAGTCGAGCACGATGGTGCATGCCTGTAGTTCCAGCTACCGGGGGCCGGGGGCTGAGGCAGGAGAATCACTTGAACCCAGGAGGCAGAGGTCGCAGTGAGCCAAGATCATACCACTGCACTCCAGCCTGGGCAACAGAGAAAGACCCTGTCTCAAAACAAAACAAAACAACCCCCAGAAAACTACTGAAGTGTTCTTAGCTAGAAAGTTGGTACCCTTGTAGCCTATGTAAGTTGTGTGTGTGTGTGTGTGTGTGTGTGTGTGTGTGTGTGTGTGTGTGTTTAAGTTTAAGGGCTCATGTTCCTAACTCTAATATTCTCTCCCACGGCCAGACACACCACGTGGACTTTGTGAGGCTGCATAAAGGACACCTCCCTGAGGTACCTCCCTAGAAGCTTGTCATCATCCATGTCCTAGAGAGTCCTGTCCTCCTCCCAGGCCCAGCAGGAGTAGGCCCCACTTTTCTGACATAACTGGAAAAAGGTGGTGGTGGAATCACTATCTGCACGAGCAGCAGCATCTTCCAAGGAACTGCTGATTGCGGAAATGCCCAAGCCTTCGAAGCCAAAGCCCAGTCCCAAACATTTTCTTCCTGGAGATCAGCTTCTGACATCATATGCTCAAGGGCCAGGCACTAGTTAGGATTTTTGGTAAAACATGAGTCACTGTTCACGTTCACTAGAACACACACGGGGTTGAGGGCAACTGCACTCATCAACTGACAGGCAAGCTCCAGCAAATTGACAGCTGGAGACCACATGGACTTGTCCCACGGGACAGAGAAGAGACCAGAGCAGGGCTTTGCCGGCAGTCCCAGGCAGCCCAGACTCAGATCCACAGAGGGCCCAAGAGACCATCAGTGCAGCTCCCTCCCTTTATATGTGAGACCACTGAAGTTAAAAAACTTATGGGTGAGGATATTCAGCAAGAAGTGTGGGCTCCTAGGTCTGGAAGTCTTAGGGATTTGAGGCTTAGCCTTTAGCTTCCTGGATTGCTTTCAACCCTAGAAACTTAAAAGTGCTTAGTAAAGTTGGCACCCCAAACAGCCCCGGGTGGCTCAAGGCCAAGAATGACCCAGCAGTCAAGGAAGCAGCTGCGGTTGGTTTGGGACCTTGGCTCTGGTACCCTGCTGTGACGGCCCTCATCAACCGAGGGACCTACCCAAAGAGCTGGGGTTATCGGTGGGTGGAGCAGCACCAGGCTATCAGGGGCTCCTAAGCTCCAAGCTCAGTCCTGCCCCTGCAGTAGCCACCCAGAGACAATATGCCAGGCTTTTTTCCATCTTCACGGAAACAAAAAGCCTTTTGCCTTTCACCTCTATTTGTTTACTGCTGCTTTTCTGGATGGATAAGAGAATATACAAGTACCTTGGGAACCGTTAGGGCTCCCCAGAAATGAGATACAATCATCCTCACAGGGCACATCTGTATATTCCCGGACATGAGATCAGTGTCCCTCCCACCAACCTTGTGGTTTTTGAGGCTTCATCCGTCACTACAGAGGCTCAGGCCTCAGAATGCCCGTAATTCTCTAAACCTACTCAAGGACCAGAAGTTTCTATTTCAGAAGAAACTCTCATTTCCTTTTTTTTTTTTTTTTTTTAAGCAATCAGGCATTTGGCTCTGGATGCTGAGGGGCTGCTCTGTCTTCCCACTGGCTGTCTTGTCTGGCTCGGAGCTCTTCCTGTTACCCCTGCAAGGCCGTGGGCACCAAGAAGACAGCACATCGTCAGCCTAGCCCAGCCACCACCTCCAGTGATGTGAGCCAAAGCCTCTCGCCAGACCAGGCCTGAGAGGCTGAGAACTTTTTGAGGCTTCAGAAGGGAGGTGGCCCCTGGGCCTGTCGGGGGCCTATCTGTCCTTCCCCAGGCTCCAGGGAGCCTGTCTTTGACCCTCACTGAGGGGCAGCTCCCCCAGCTGCAGGGTTGCCTGAAAAAGAGATTCCACTGCTTCACCCTCTTTCTCTCATCGTTCTCATGTTGCTTTAAATATGAAGCTCCATTTCAGACAGCTCTACACAGGAGGGTTGGAGATTGCCACCCAGCCCCACCTTGCCTGACAACAGGAATGAGGCTAGGAATAGGAAGAGAAAACAGTGCAGAGCTGAGTTAAGAGAAAGTACTGGGACTGGGTGCGGTGGCGGGAGCACGTTTGTAATCCCGGCACTTTGGAAGGCTGAGGTGGGAGGATTGCTTGAGCACAGGACTTCGAGACCAGCCTGGCCAACGTGGTGAAACCTCATCTCTACAAAAAATACACAAGTTAGCCAGGCATGGCGGTGTGCGCCTGTGGTCCCAGCTACTCGGGAGGCTGAGGTAGGAGGATCACTTGAGCCAGTGAGGTCAAAGCTGCAGTGAGCCAAGATTGTGCCACTGCACTTCAGTGTGGGTGACAGAGTGAGATCTTCTTTCTTTCTTTTTTTTTTTTTTGAGACGGAGTTTCGCTCTTGTTACCCAGGCTGGAGTGCAATGGCGCGATCTCGGCTCACCGCAACCTCCGCCTCCTGGGTTCAGGCAATTCTCCTGCCTCAGCCTCCTGAGTAGCTGGGATTACAGGCACGTGCCACCATGCCCAGCTAGTTTTTGTATTTTTAGTAGAGACGGGGTTTCACCATGTTGACCAGGATGGTCTCGATCTCTCAACCTTGTGATCCACCCGCCTCAGCCTCCCAAAGTGCTGGGATTACAGGCTTGAGCCACCACGCCCGGCTCTTATTTCTAAAAATAAAAAATAAAACAGAAAGTACTGGGGGTTAAAAAAAAAAAGTTTGGTGCCCTTGCTTCTGCTTAAGAGTTGTCATATGAAGCCCAAGAGCACTGACAAAGAAGACAGCACCATTATGCTCTGGAGCGTGGGGTCACTGTTCAAGGTACATACAGAAAACTCGTTCACCAGCTCCAACAGCCAGACCCAGGGCTTCCTGGAACTCAGATCCCAGAGCTGGCCTTTCAGGTGTGTCTGGCCCAACATGACTGTTTACTGGGCCACGGATCCTCTTGGCTCAGAGGTCCTGTTCTTCCCTGTCCTCCCACCTTCTAAGGACACTTGCACATGTGTGGCTGTTATTTACTGTCTGCCCATGAGGAGTCAGGGAAGCCAGACTGCCAAGCCCGGGTCTGTGCTTTGTCCTGAAGGTCCACACCCTACCCTGCCTTCCTCCCAGTACTAATTGCCTGTGAGTTGGTTTAGATTTGAGAAACAAGAGCTTCAGGTTTCCATGAGAGCCCATTGCCTCAGCTGCTCTCTGAGGCTGGACCCTGTCATCCTCTGGTTGGTTGGCATTTATACCCCAGCTCAGGGAGGAGGGTAGGGGTGGGGCAACAAAGCTAAATATAGATGCAGTTTCTAGAAAGCCAGGGGTGAGAGAGGACATGGATGGATTCCCATGCCAGAGACCAATTTACCAAAACAGAAAGAGACAAGAATCTCACAAAAGCATCAAGAGCCTGGGGCCAGGACCTCAGGCCTAGGACAGTAGGACCTTTCTCCAGCAGGTGGCCTCTGCCAGCAGAGATGCACCTCGCATAACCAGGCATGGGGTCAGCTATTCCCTCTGGGCTCCGTCTCCACAGCACTGAGTGTCACAGAGATCCCAGTGCCTGCTCAGGATACAGGAACTAGCGGGAGCTCCTGATCTGAAAGAGCTGTGTGAGGCGCTGGGAATGCTAACTAGTTTGATTATGGTGATCATTTCACAACATATATATATAGCAGAACATCGAGTTGTGCACCTGAAATGTAGACCATGTCTATTTGTCAATTATGTCCCAGTAAAGCTAGAGGAATGAAAAGACCTATATCACTTGATAGGGTCCTACAGGTATGTGAGAGGCAGCATCAGGGGGTTCTCCTCAGGTAGGTTTTAAAAAGCATTAAAGGGCAGTTAACAATGTAGAGAAAGGCACAGACTTTTGTTTGTTTGTTTGGAGGGAAACTGGC